TCAATCAGAGATCTCAGATCTGAAAAGCAATAAAAAGTGTCTTTAATTCCCAGGTGAAAAGATGGCTGAAACTAAAACTAAATTGGTTTCAGTCAACACTGACGTTCCAACCAGCTCTGCTGTGGATAAGAAGCTTTTTCATATTTTTCTGGGCCTGGATTTGCAAATTAGCCCAGAAAACATATCAACAAAACTGAACTGCAAATAGAACGAACATAGAGAAGAGACTCCAGTTAACAATTAGTTGACTGTTATTTCAATTACAGACTCATCACAGTAAATCTGATTAATTGTTTCAGCATAAGTGATCAGCAGGGACAAGGAATAAATTAGAGGAGCTAAGGACTGTCTTAGCACCGTCAATCAATGTTGTGAACGTGCTGCTAAATGTGCTGATGACGGAGAAACAACTCACCCATACAGGAAAATCATTTATTCACCATTATTGATGCTTATGCTAACCCTGCTGAAGCTCTATTGTAGCACAGAGCATGATTGACAGCGCTAAGACCCGCCTCCTGGCTCTGATTGGTTAATTGGCACATGAGCTTGATTTATTTATGTTCCTCAGTTTATTTGTCTGATATTATACTATCACTATAGTGACAGTTTCAGCAAATATGTAAAAATCATTTTTTATTATAACAGTTACTGCAGCTTTAAGATTTTAAAATGGATCCCATTCATCCAATTTTGTGAAGACCATCTTTAGACATTTCAGTCAGTAGAGGAGCATCTTATTTCACAATTATATGCTACTTTGTCCCAGATAAATACATCCCATTACGTAGTTGCATCGTGAACAAAATGTGGAAAAGAGTAATTTTGCACAACACTGCAACTGATTAAGCCTCTTTCTTTAATCAAGATTTATAGTTTCTGTGTGAATGTTAGTTGGAGACTGGAAAATAAACGGTTAGTGATTGCACGAATTACTTCAAAAACAATGTTTGAAGGAAAAATCCTTGGAAGAACTGCGGTGTGTTTGTTCCACGCAAAAATGTGATTCCACCTCCTTTTCTTCTGTACATCCACAGGAAAACATCCAGGAATTAAACAAACAATGTCTTGACATAAAAGCCTTGGTGACTTCAGGCAACAACTGTGACTTTTATTTGTAAATTTGCAACAGACGGTTTAGGTTTTGATTGCAAATTCTCCAAATACTTCCTTGTTAGCAATCGAATTGAAAAGCGTGCATCGATTGACGACGGCTCTTCTCTTTCCAGGAGATGAAAGCAAGTCAAACATCGAGGTCATAATCTTGGTTTGCACCGGAGCTGCTGCCACGTTCCTCTGGATTATGCTCATCCTGTTCATCCGAAAGCTGAGGAAGGTAAGAGCTTTAACTCTGTGGAAACCAGTTTGGATCACAGACATTACTAACCCATCCTGGCTGTGACACAATGTACCACTGAGTGATACATTTAGCTGGATTTCTAAATGTTTGGGTTCTGCTGAGTCATGTGGAAACAAAACATCTCAGCCTTTTTTTTTCTCCCTTATCGCTCAAAATGAAACCTAAGATGTAAGAAACTATTAACTAAGAACTTATTTAAGTGCTGACAGAGCACTAAACAGAAATAAAACTAAAGCAATTGGGCCTGAAGAGGAACAATTAATAGTCAACATGCATTATCAGCAGTTTTAGTTACACTGTAAAAGGTTGTGTCATTTCGTTGTTTCTGCTCTTTAAATCAAATACATTTTGGCAGTTTTTGATTTTGAACCTAAATGTGAAAGATAAACGTAGAGTAGCGAGTTGGGTTAACATTTTATTAACTTTTCCAAACCTCCCAGAGTTGAATAAACTTGAGTTTTTAGGTTGGCACTTAGGAAAACTGAAAGAAGAAAAAAGACAGGAGTGGGAACTATTTCCCAGAATGCTTAGCGGCTTGTTTCTGTATCCTGAGATGGAAGTGCGTTACATTGATCTGACTCTTGTGTTTTATTAAGAAAAATGTTTATTTTAAAGCTTGAGGATAATGTTCTGTTCACACTAAATGTTATTGAATTCGTTGTGATGTTTAATAAAATTAATTATCATATCAGAAATTTTGTTCCTGCAATTTGAAACAATAATTTAAATTATTCAAAGGTAAAATAAGTAGTGAATTTAAAGTGAAGTGTCTTCTTGCTCAAATGTTTTAATCAACTAAACTAGATAACAAAAACTATAGACACTAGTTATGATTCTTCTGTTGCCTTTTCAGCAGCCAGCACACTATAAGATGGGTCCGTCTATCATCATGATCCTGATGAGTATCCTCTCGATGAGCAGAACGATCTTCTTCAGTACGACAGCAGCAAATGGGAGTTTCCTCGTGACCGCCTGCGTCTCGGTGAGCTGCAGTAACAAAAAATAAATTCAATATATCAAATAAAAAAATACTTTAACACAGTCTCTGATTTGTTTTTGCATAGTAATTGTTATATAATGCATTTATAGTCATGAATTTATCATTTTTCCCAACCAAAAGAAAGCTTATTATGCGTCACTGATCCATTAAATATGCTAAAGTAAACTTCAAAAGGTCTTTCAGTTCTGAACATGATTGAAAGCAACAGGCTTATAAGTTTTAGAACATTTATACTATTAGGGCCATTAAAGTCACAAATGGGACATTTGGGACATGTGAGTCACTGCAATGTTTAACATAGGGTCAGTTTTTGCTTGACAATACGTCTGTAGCGGTGCAACGTGAGATCCCAAGGTGTGAGTAACCCAAACACTGAGCTGAGCAGAGGGTAGAGCTGTGACTCACTCGTCCTAATTGCCTTAACAGCCCAATTAGTGTCATGACTGCAACTCATAATCCCGTTTCTGGCAAACATGTTTAAAACTAAAGACGTTTTTTGAACGAAAGGTGAAAAATCCACAAGAAACATTAGAAGTAGTCCAGTCCTCCTCTGCTTTATTGCTTAAGAGTCTCAGTTTTCCACTGAAGGGTAAGAAGGCAAGTATAGGATTCAGTTTGGAGGCTTTTTGAAAACAGTGCCAACTTTTTTAAGAGGCAGAAATCTTGAAAATCACGTGTCATTTGCCAATTTTTAGTGTTTAACTGCATGTGCATGCCACGACTCTTAAATATTTCCACACCTTTGTTGGAAACTGAATGTTTTGTCCCGTTAATGTGACACCTGCCCTGCACAACTCACATAAAAAACAAACACATTTGTAGCAGAAAATTTAATGCACAAGTGCACGCTTAATTACACCTGCTTCTGAAGCACCTTTTGAATCACTTTCATCATTTAGCATTCTTTATTTTACACCAACCATCAATAGTTTGAACATTTGCATTGCCAAGATAAAGTCAGTTTGTAGAAAAGTGACAAATAATCAACAGGATCTGATTGTATGAAGCTTCAGTCAAGAGAAGAGGATAAATATTTATTTGTTTGAGATGATCTGTCAGGAAAAACATTTTGAAGGGGTAAGAGGTAATTGTAGAAGTCGTTCATCGTGAGCGCCATTAAGATGGATGGCAGAGGTGTCGCATCGCTCTGCAGCTGCACAGTTGAGTCATCACTTAACACTGACCTGCACTGTCAACTCGGCTTAAGTGCACCATAAATTAATCTCTGAACACAGAATATCAAAGCCCCCGTTTGTTTTCTGCAACCTTAGCTTTTGTTTTTCTTTGTATGCTTGGTTATTTATCCCCAGGGAGTCTGATTTAAATCCTCTTCTGACATATTTGATTTCTTTATCAGGTAAAACTCTCGGCCACGGAGCTTTTGGAAAGGTCGTCGAGGCTTCTGCTTTTGGGATTGACAAGCTCTCAACATGCAAGACTGTTGCAGTAAAAATGCTTAAAGGTAGGAATAAAACAGATTAGAGAGGGTTAAGTGAGCAACCAAATTAATTTCTCTTCTCAAAAAAACATGTGCAACTGGTGTTTGTGCGACTTAATAGTTCAAAGCAAAGAACGAGAGATATGTTTGTTGCAGAGGGAGGCAGAGCGAAAGGCTAAGACCTCTAACCTTGAAGTTAGAGGTCTTAGTTTGAGTAAGCGTTCTTCACATCTGCAGGTGAAGAAAAGTTCAAAAGTGCAAGAAATGAGAGCAAAACCATCAACAAATCTTCAAACTTTCTTATTCTATTCTTTGGAAACTTGTCACAAGTTTAGTTGTGGTTTAAAGTATTTTAAATGTCCTTCACTTTTTCAAATATTTCCAGTGAGTTACATCTGCATCAAAGTTAAAAGGCATAAAACAGGCAGCTAAATTAATCATTACACATTTTTCTTTCCAGTTTTAGTTAACCAATAGACCAGAAAGTGAATATCAAACAACAACATTACGGCTCTCAGCTGCGCTTATTGTCTTATCTTTGTGAATCGTGTCTGGGCATAAATCACAGGCTCAGAGGAAAAGTGGACGCAGGTCAGATTTAATGGAAAGCAGCAGCTTTGTGACTTCAGACTGCATGGCTGCTTTCGTCTCATAAATCTGATGTTGGTCAAAGCTGCAGACTAAAAGTCTTGATTTGTATATTTCAAGACATTGTTATTGTTTAAATTTACCGCAATCAGATACGTAATCTAAGCTCACATGCTTATCTTATTTTTGTCTGGATTTATTTGTTGGAGTTGTGATTAGATCTATTAAGAGCTGCTTTACAAATCCAGTAAGAATGTATCCTTTATTTATCTTAGTTTTTTATCCAGTTTTGTCTTCATACTTGCAAATTGCAAACGTATCTATTTCACACTGTAAAAAATCCATGAAACTAACAACAAATTTAATCTTTGAGCTCTCAAGCATTCAGAAACTTTTTTTTAATCTTCATAAAGATACAGATTAAAGTAAACAAGTTGCAAACAGAAAGTGAAAAGCAATAAATGAAGATTGAAAACTGTAACTTATAAACATAAATCTGTTTCTCTTCTAAAAGACAAACATTTTTAGGAAAGTTTCCATGAAGGTTAAAAAACCGGTGTAATGATATTTGCTGAAATTGTCTGTTTTTGCAGGTGGCGCCACATCGAACGAGCGTAAAGCTCTGATGTCGGAGTTAAAGATCCTGATCCACATCGGAAACCACCTGAATGTGGTCAACCTGCTGGGAGCTTGCACCAAGCCCGGAGGTGAGCTTTACACTGCAAAAACACAAAATGTCACCAAGTATTTCTGGTCCAGTTTCTAGTGTAAATATCTTGAAATAAGAAAAACTGGCTTAAAAGTTACTTTTCAGCAAGAAATAGAAGTTGGTGTTAAATAATTCCTTAAAATTAGGGAAATGTACTGGTTCTACTTGCAGATTATTTCACTCATAACAAGGGAAAGATGCTTTATTATAAGTCAAATAAGCTACCAGTGGGTTTGATGTTTTTTCATAAACATTAAGGAATTATTGACTCTAAATAAGCTCCTATTTCTTGTTGAAAAGTTACTGTTAAGTTAGTTTGTCTTATTTCAGTTAAGTAGCACATAGTATAGCACATAGAAGATGCTTAGAAGAAATAAAATAAGATCTACTTCTGACATACCAACAGTCTCTGGAGCAAAGGCAACTTCACACTGAATGTTAGAGAGATGAGAGGGACGGCTGGTCTTCTCACTGTGGGGAGCTATAAAAATAAAATAAACAAATATAAAAGTAAGGAGTATATCGAACATCTTACTTAAATCCACATTTGGAAGTCCAATTCCAATTTAATAAATGTATTACATTCCCATATCTTAAGATTCATATTTGTAGTAGAAACTAGTAACTAAAAATTACGAAAGTAATTCAGATCGTCAGACAAATGGAGGAACGACACGTTTGTTTGTAACCTTTTGTAACAAAGTACGTCTCTAAATACATCAACTGCTGGAAATGCATTCACTCTGTTTCAACTACATTGTACTGAATGTAAAAACAGAAAAACTCATCATTTGTGTTAAAAACCAGCCTGTTCTACGTTGTGTAGTAATTTCTATTCTGGATACTATTACTGTATAATTCAAAATAATTTTGTGCTGGGGAAAGTGATCAAAATGGTGATTTGTTTGAAAAAGCAGATAAATATCAACATTATAGATGCAAAAAACAGAATCAATTACTTGGTTAAAAAATATATTTTGCCAAAATATCAAATAATGAATGCATTAATTTACTGATATATGTGTCAAAAATAATCTATATGCATGTTTTAAAAGAAGTACTTACTCTTAGATAATTGATTTCTTTTTGATCTTGGCCTCTCATATATTACGTTTCCATCTTTGTCCCTTTTTCTCCACCTTACTGTGGGTTTAGGTCTCTGCTTAGGTGCTTGACGCTTAGGTACATTTTTCTTCAGATCAGCAATCAAGTCATCAAGTTGTTGAAGCTGGAAATTTAATTTTTGCTGACGTATCTCATGATCCAGGGCCATTATTGGATCAGGGATGTTTGAGACACTCATGGTGACAGATGGACAAACAGACAAACAAACAAACCAACAAAACAGTTGACAGATTAAATGAAGAACAACAGACTAAGGACACAAAGATGACAAACAGATTTGACAGACGTGGCTCTTACAAGTGCCTTTTGTGGGAGCTATGAAGGAGCAGAAATATATTTGTGAGTTGATGAGATCAAAGAAGAACCTGTTGACATAAAAAAAGAAATGTTCAGATTTCAGAAGTTATTTATTCCAACGTAGACATGTGGAGAAAACTTTGCCTGTAATGACCCAAGTTCGTTTTTAATTCAAGTACATGACCTAGCTGCAATCAGTGTATTCAGACACAGGCTCGTAGATAAAACTTTAAGGATCATTACAGCCTAGAGGCTCTGGTGTTTATAGCAATCCTCAAATTTTACAACAAGCATGACTATAGACAATTCTGTGACTCTATCATGGCTAGTTAAATGTATTAAGTGCAGGTTTAGGTGAACTCTCTGGGCTCCAAGAGGCTAATGTAGCTAGCTTCCCGCGTATTTCTCCCGGCAAAAAAATACTAAACATGTTACAAACGTGTCTAAATGTCTTCAACCATTCGTGGCACATTCCTACTGCTATTAAGTCCTAAAACTGCAATCAGCAACTTTATAACGTAACATTCTCTAGTATTTTTTTGTTTGTTTTATAGTATAAAACCATTTCTGACAGATTTAGGTTTGTACTCACCGGGGTGCAATGTCGCATGCGATGACGTCAGCCGCTTCTTCTTCTTCTTCTTCTTCTTCTTTTGTTCTTCTTTTTCATCATCATCTTCTTCTTCTCTTATTCTTAGATTTATAGACGGGTGAGATCCCTGACTCTTCTTAAGCATTTTTAATAAAATTCTTTTCACTAATAATGGACTGCAAACAACTTCGGAGGTGCATGCCACTATTATAAACTTCAAATAACATACGTATTCGTTTCTTTTTCATTGTTATGTACAATGACAATATTACGTTAATTACAATCATCAATTTACGATGACATCAGTGAAACTGGTGTCATTCTACCATATTACAATATTCGTGTCTGTTGTCAAAAAATAAGCAGAAATGAAGATAAAATCGCGGCTTAAGAGAACCGGAGGATCTATTAAATTGGAAGTAAAATTAACTAGATTGTTAAAAACCTACAAATAAATCAGCTATGCACGAATTGTGTGCCTTTTGCAAAAATAGAATAGACTCGTCATCTTATTTGTTCCTGGAGAGGTGCAGCGTTCAATGAGAGACGCAGGGTTACCCGATGCGTCAAAATGTGACGCTGAGGGAACCTGCCCCAGCGTCGATATATGACGAGTCGGGAGTGAGAATGTGTTGCACATGCAGAGGGTGTTTAGAGATAATCAATAATCACAAGAACTGTGTTTAACAGGACATTTAATGATGATTGTGGAGTTCTGCAAATACGGCAACTTGTCCATCTATCTGAGAAGCAAAAGAGACGATTTTCTTGTTTACAAGGTGAGCTTACTTCTTTCTCTTCATGCACTGCAAAAACACAAAATCTTACAGGACATTTTCCCCAAGTTTTAAATTAAAATGTTTTGTTCCACTGGCAGGTTATTTTATTTATAGTTAATACTTTTGTAGGCATTTTTGACTTAAAACAAGCTACTATTTCTTATTAAAGTTTGTTTTGTCTTATTTTATGTCGACTAAGAGATTTGCACTAACAAGGAAACCAAAATTATTCAGTATGGTTCTTGTAAGAGTAAAAGGGTATTTGGTAAAAAAGTCAACTCAAGTACAGAGTAACTGATCAAATTATCACAATTTTAAAATTACATAATCAGGTGATATAGAGTCAAATGGAAATTTTGGTATTTTAAGGACCAAAATTACAATAATTTATATGAATAACTTAAAACAACAAAAACAGGTAAATGACTTTTTTTCCAAATCAGTTTATTTCAATAAAAAATTGATTAAACTTTAGCAGAAATTGCAGCTGTGAGTCTGAGACTGGTGAAGTTTTTGGTTAAAACATGTTTGTTTTTCATTCAGTGGGGAGAAAATCCAAAAACTGTATTAAATCAGAGTAGAAATACTTCATAATAAAATTACTATAAAGTAAAAAAATACTCCTAAAAGTAATTTTTTTCAAAAACTAGTTACTTTCCCAAAAAGTTACTTATAAGTTAATTTTGTCTTATTTCAAGTAAGTAAGATTTTTGTGCACTAAAAGCCAAAACTAGTTTGTAAGATTTTGTGCTTTTGCAGTGTGATCCTTTGATCCAAACATGAATCAGCTGCAGTGTTTAACTCTGTGGTTCACCTTCATGCGGTCGGTCAGCGTCAGGACGGTAAGGTGCTGTCGGCGGGATCGGGCTGCGAGCTGAGCGAGCTGATGAAGCGTCGCCTGGAGAGCGTGGCCAGCACCGGAAGCTCAGCCAGCTCCGGCTTCAATGAAGATAAGAGCTACTGCGACTCGGAGGAAGAGGAAGAAGGTAAAAGGGCCTGTTTCTTTAACGAGAGCTCCCCGCAGATTGTTTTCAGGTCTGATGGGACGTTTCCTCCCCCTGTCCGGCAGTACAATCGCTGCAGCGGGAGCCGCTGTCACCCCACTGAGTCTGGGGAGGCGTCTGTTTGTTTCCTGTCGGGCTCAGTGTGCCGGCCTTTTTATTTCCGAAGTGTTATTTCAGATCCGATTAGCTGTTTACTCAGGTGGAGAGGTGGAAGGACTCCTGAGAAGACAAGGGTCATTACCACACGTTTCACCTGACATCTTGTTAAAAAACACAAAAGAAGCAGTTTTGATCTCTCATCTGTTTAAAAGAGGAGGAAACGGGACATCACTTTAAGTTGACTTGTTGTCTTTACATTTGTTCCTCCCACGGGAAGTTTTATCTTGTCTGATTTATCTGGCAGGTGGACGAGGCTGACTACACCGAATGCTTTGAAAAACAGTCCTAGATGAGGAGATGTAGCTGCTTTGGATGTTTGAAAACTCACCCTAGATGGAAAAACACTTTATGCTTTTCATTTTGCAGAACCGGAAGATTTATACAAGAGAGTTCTGACGCTGGAGGATCTGATCTGCTACAGTTTTCAGGTTGCAAAGGGCATGGAGTTCTTGGCGTCACGCAAGGTATTTCCTTCTGCAGTCGCTTGTTTAGCATAAACAATTTGAGACCCAATTCTCATTTTAAAACATGACATGGATTTATGTGATGATGTCAAGTTTAACTGAGAAAATGTTGAAAAGTGTGTTTTGCATATGTTTTCTGAAAGCAAACGTACATAATATTCTTGTCTAGTTTCTAGTATCTTAGTACATTTGAAATTGACAAAACTAACGTGGGAGAAACTTTTCAGCATTAAATAAGTCAATAATCCCTTAATATTGATGAAATGGTACTAGTTCCAGATTATTTCACTTTTAACAAGACAATTTTCCTAAATTGTAAGTCAAACAATATCCCAGTGAAACTAATTCTTCTTCAGTCAATAACAAAAAAAATTGATTGACTGAATACAAACTCCAATGGGATCATAAATGAGTTTTGCACATTTTCCTTGTTAAATACAAAACATTTAGTTTGCTCATTATTTTTGGTCTCGATTGGAAAGAGTGAAAAAACATTTTGTCTGTTCGCTGCAGCAGAAACAGGATCTGTGTCAGAAAACACTTCCTGTTTTTGGCTGAGTTTAGAAAGCAGATTTAGGTGCATAACTCAATAAGTCCTTGTTAACATAAAAATATTTTTAAACTTTGTGTTCCCTCCACCATTTTTGTGAGCAGATTTTAATTTAAAAGTTTAATCAAGTTAATCAATTTGTGGTTTCTTTGTGGCTGGAGGGGGCCGCATAAAGTCAGTCCAGAGGCCGCAAGTGGCCCACATGCCTCAGGTTGAACACCCTTGGCCTACAGTGACCGTGCCGTTGCTGCTTTGACCCACTTTCAGCTGTTTTCTGGTTAATGTCTCCCCTGAGGTTTGTGAAGGATGCCAGGCTTGATCCCATTCATAGTTTGGGGGAGACCGGATGAAACTGATTAGAGAAAAATGCTATTGTTGTAAAACACCTTCCACAGAAGCAAAAACAAAAAATCCTGCAGCACTATTACTGATCTCTTCACCATATGTCTATCCTGCCCTGTTGTTTGCATGCCAGTTTGGGGAGCCTGACATTCTTGTGTTCAAATTGTTTCAGTCTGAGCGAGTTTTCCTCTCTGTCATCAGTGCATTCATCGGGATTTGGCTGCTAGAAACATTTTACTGTCTGAGAACAATGTGGTGAAGATTTGTGACTTTGGGCTGGCCAGAGACATTTATAAGGACCCGGATTATGTGCGCAAAGGAGATGTAAGTTTATTTTTAATTCAGTAATTTACACAGATGTCTCCGTTTAACAGTTAGTTGCTGCAGAGTTGGCAGGAAAAAAATGACATTTTGAGCTCTGCTAAATGATTTCAGGGTGAAAACTTTAATTTTTATGTGTAGTACCTGCATGGATTAATAAGTTTGATATACAAATAGGAGAGAAACGTGAACTTGCATCAATCATTGTTTACAGGCCAGGCTGCCGCTGAAGTGGATGGCTCCTGAAGCCATATTTGACAAGATCTACACAACCCAGAGTGACGTTTGGTCCTTCGGAGTCCTGATGTGGGAGATCTTCTCTCTAGGTGAGTGTCACCAACCCATAATGCAGTGGATTTTATGTTAAATTATGATTAATCACACTTTTAGGAAAGCTAAGTTTAATTTTACCAGCCACATCCAGGCCTGATACCTCAGATTTAAAAGATTAATCACAATTAATCTCTCTAATAATCATCAACAAATTCTTTTGACTGCACTATATTGGCATTTTATATCAGTATCAACAATAATTGGTTGGTTTTTTACTTTAAATATGTGACATACTGCCAGACTAGTGACATAATCTTTCCAGTTTTATCCACAATGTTCTCTTCGCGCCGTTGTTTTTTTTTATTTCTAAGTAGTTATGAGACACAGTGGCAAAACTACTCTATCAGATATATTATCTCCTGATATTGATCACATGAATATTTATCGTTGATGATTTATTTTCCAGCCCTAATTAATGGAGTAAACGGCCTCAAAAACGGCCATTTTCTGAATGAACAACATATTCAGAGCAGTAATTAAGTTAAAATTGTACAAAGAAATATGAATTTAAATAAATAAATTAAACAAAATCCAACTGCTGTCAAAAATACATCAAAGAAACCACATTATTTGTTTAAATAGTCTTTTTTGCAGTGTGTTGTTTTATTTTTACTATGTTTCTCACCAACTTTGACCTAAATAAAATTCTGCTGGAGTTTTGATCGGCGTAACCAGTAAGTCCTGGAACAGAAATATGTTTTGCATCGCCTCAAAGATGACAAATTGAGGATTTGGACAAATAAAACTGAAATATAAAGTTTCACTTCATGTTTTCTTATGGGATGGAAGAAGTCCTCCAGCTCTTTATTTCCCACACTTTGGATGAAAAGTAAATAAGTTGAGCGGAGGTTCCCGTTTGAGCCGGTTCAGTGATAAATCAGACGGATTTATGGTGGAGTCTGAATGAGAATAACAGCAACAATTTTTCTTTACCATATGTTAAAAGCAAACCACAGTTACATCATGCAACTGTTTCTGATCACAAGTCTTTTGTCTTAAATTAACTTTCAGCCGTATCAGTTTATTTCTTTAAAACTCATGGTTACGTTTCTGTTTGATGTCGCTGCACCATGAAAACAT